TGTTCCCCTCAGGCTGATGGGATTGCATCTCAAAAGAAGCCTGGTGATGCCTGTAGGGCTGCCTGGTCACATGGTGCTGGTACAGCCACCTTATTTCCAGCGGCTAAATCATATTAAGAAGCAATTAATGTTCATTAAACGCTTTCCTAATGCTGCCTTCTTATCTAAGCAGTGGCTGTCACAGGGATGTTAGCTATTCCAAACAGGAGGGGAGGAGAGTTGGTACAATTAGGAAGAGGACCAAGGTACCAAAGGTATTCGGTGAAACTGGAGTCCCACATTGTGGTAAAACATGGAAGTCTCCAGAGTGAGGTGTGAGCCTACTGTTCTTAGTTTAGGCATCAGTGGAAGTAGATGCCGTTAGCAATAAAATAAAAATGCATTTCAAACTGGGAGGAAGTCATTGGTTCATTGAATTTCACAACTTTTTATTTCTTTCTACCTGTAGTTCCAGGCAGCATGGTTTAAATAGTCATAAGCAGCAAAAACAGTGTTGCTGTCTTCCAAACTCCAAGATCAAAATATCCAGGCAAAAGACAAGTACCCCCATTTAAAAATACCCCCCCCACACACAAAATGTACCCCCCCACACACAAAAAAAAATATAAATAAATCCAAATTCAAAACTAGTGAGTTCTTCATGTTGGTGCTACGCTTTTCTTCAGTCATTCCTTAATATTCTTCAGTATATTTTTTTCCAGATCTTACAAGTTCGGCTTTACTAAAATAATAACCTAATAACAAAATTCAGCCAGCACACAGCGTGTCAAGGTCTAGACAAAAGAAGCTGAAGTATCACGTGTTTCAAAGCAGTTACAGGTACCCCAGTTTTGAGATAGTCATCAAGAGCGCTGGTGACAGCTCGTCCCGTAAGGCACTGTTCGCTCTCTGCAGTCAAGATGAAAAGAGGGCACAAGGAGAACTCCTCAAGATGTTGAGTGTCTCATAAGATGTCACACTGATGGTAGGACTGGCCTCCTGTGCAGAAAATGAATATGGTATTCACTGTTGCAAACTGCCTGTGATTTCTATGTCAGAGGAATGCATTGCTCGTGCTCCTCCACATTCCTGTCTCTAGTTTATGCAGGTAAGCAGCTTGCACTGTTCAGTAACGGTGATCCCGCCTGACAGCAGAAAAATGTTCATTGTCTAAAATGCACCTCGTAGCAGGAGCAAACTGGAGGCCAGCAACTACACTGAGAATCAGTGCTCTATTGCCAGCAACCATGCAAGACTTCATCCAATTAAGGGCACGGCTGGTGTTGATATGCCCATGATTGTAGCGCAATCCAATGTGTATGTTCTTCGGAAGGAAGCTAATGGGCAGAAGAGGATCTGAATACTAATTAGATACAAAGGAGGATTTTAATGCGGAATTCCTGACAACTTGCAAGTTGTTAACCTGAAGGTAAAGACTTCTTTTTTCTGCTCTCACTTCTTCCTAAATGCACTCAGTGTGACTTCTTAACGTGACACTATAAGAAAGGCTGCAGTGGGTCAGGTGAGAACAGCATGTTCTTCAGGCAGCACTCGGCAGCAGACTCCTGGGGAAGAGGCATGCAACGATCCATCCCTAGATCCTTTCTCAGCTTCCAGCAATCAATAGATCAGCTATCTGTGGGTTTGGTTGCCTTTCATAGATTTTTCTTCCATAATTGTGTCTAATTGCTTCTGAAACCATGTAAACTTTTGTCATCGACAGCAGCTTGTGTCAATGATTTCCATCCAATTTGAAATCCTTCCCATTACAGTTACCCCAGGAACAATTTTCTGAGAAAGAAATTACATTGTTATTTGGAAACTCTGGTTTCCTATGCTAAAGGACATGAAGTGCTAAATATTCTTTTGTAAAGAATTTTGCTACACATTGCACAAATTAGCACTGTTGTTAATACAAATGCACAGCATCCATTGCTCGAATCAAGGGTGAGTTATTACAGAGCATACTGTGAATGCAAATTAAAAATAATGCACAGCACTCAAACAAATCCTAATGGACCAACAGCACAATGTCAAATACATCAGGAGCAAAGATTTTAATACTATTATTAAAGCCCCAAACAAACAAACAAAGCAAGTAAATCAACGCTGACACAAACTGTTTGAGCAACATTTACTCGTCATAGATCAGAGTGCAGGCGGATGGTGCAGCTCCCAGCTGTTCTGAAAATGCCTGCACAGTAGGAGGAGGGATGTCACATAGCACAAGGCTTCTCATCGGGCAGGATGGTCAACGGTTGAGGTAATTATGTCCAGCTAAACATTTCCTTCCATCGGTGAGTATGGATGATGTGTCCAGCTACTTATCTGTAGAAAAATCTAATTTGCGATCACAGTTGTTGAAGTGTGCAAAGAAAATACCCAGCAATCAGAGTGAGAGACCATGGTGGAGTCAGAGTCATCCTTAATACAAGTGATGGGCTGCAGGGGTCAGTCAGCGTCGCTTATGCTTATGGGAAATCAGAGCCACAGTTTACAAAAGTAAATAATTGGATGATGTAAGTATGCAGAGAGCAGGGATTACTGGGAAGGACAAAAGAGAGGGATGTCTGTGTGAGGCTTGATCTTGGGATGGGAAGATTAGCTCTTGAGTTTCCTCCAAGACAGTGGCCTGATGGCCCATCTCCAAGCTGTTTTGCGGGGGTCATAGTGCACTGAAAAAAGCTGGAGTCCTTTTTTCCCCATTCTTATGTTTCTTTTGTAGAAATTCACATTGAGTATAATAAATAAAAAAATAAGGACACATTATATGCTTATATATGGGGATAGATTACTTTGCTGGTCCTGAAGAAAGCAGCAGATGTGATACAGAGCACCATAAACTCATGGGTGTAAAGGAACCTGGAACCAGGATGACAGGACGTCTGTCTTTAAACTGAGCAAAAGCCATTAACCTCATTAAGCAGAGTTAAAAATATAACTGCCCAGAATGCAACCTAAACCTATTTTCACATAAGACTGATTCTCCCATTCTATTCTGCAGTAAAAAAATGTTGAATACTCCATAGAAACATCGCTGCTGCGGATCCTGGATTCCCCATTTTCCATTACCGTGTTCTTTTGAAGCTGTTTGCAGAGCAGGTGCCCAGCTGGGAGCAGACCTGGGGCAGAACCCACATCCCAGAGGTCATGTCGGAGGTGAGGACACTGTCCTGAGGGAGCTGGAGGGCCTGGCAAAATCCTTTAGACTTGGCTTTAAACCCATGAATATCTCTGTTAAACTGGGGCCAGTCTCCTGCTTCTGGTTAAGCACAAATCGTCTGAAAGGTCAGTATGTCTCCACGAGGAAACATCAGCACGAAACGTCTAGGTGCGGGCATACCCATGCAGCAACAGGGAAAAGCAAGGCGGTAACAACTGTCAGAGCACACCCTGGGAAGAGAAGTGACACAGGAAAATAAGCCATGCGATAAAATACCTCTTGGCAGCGGGGCTGCCTTCCTCTTCGGGAAAAAACCTCAGGGAAACCAAGCCCAGGAAAGAAAAAAGCCCAGGCAATTCTGCATTTCTGTTTGTCGAGTAACACCCTGAGACATTTCTGAACCGGAACTGAAAGCCTTTACCTCCAAACAGAATACGTCCAGGACACTTCAATGGCTGGCAAGACCTGCAGGCATTTGGGAAGGATACCAGTGGCTGGCAGCCTGCAGTCCCCAATGGGTCACCACGGGAGCAGTGGGATTTGTGGCAGTGCTGGTGTATGGTCAGGGTAACGCTGTGATGCTGGGGCTGGGAAGGTGGTGGGGGAACCAGGGCTGGGGGTCAGAAACCACGGTCTGTGCCTTGGCCAGGGCAGGTGAGGCTATGGGAAGGAGCTGGGGCTTGTCCCTTCGTCCAGCAAACCATCCTTTGTGCTGAGCTGTCTCTGTCCTCTCAGTTCGTGGCGCTATGTACAGCGCTGCATCCCCACAGCCAGATCCATCCATATGTAAATACCATCTCCTCTGTGATTCACGCAATAATAATAGAGAAAATCCAAATAATTTAAATGTTACCTTCTCCGCACTGGTGTGCTGTGCCTCGGAGACAGACCCCGCTGATCGTGTTACGCTCCTGACTCGCTTTCATTAGGCTCTGCACATACACTGTAATTCTCACTAAATCCATGTGCTGGGTAAGCCAGAATCTCTCTTATGGTTCTCAGATAGCCAATTACGTATTTGTCTCCCTCTCAATTCCTGTACTTCCAGAGAAATTACATTTTTGTTTATTATTATCCAGTGCTTTCAGTGTCCTGATAGGATTAAGGTCTGGTGAAGGGGAAAACCAAATGTAGCCCAGAAAAACAGGTGCCATCTCAACAGAGGGATCAATAAATACTCTTATATTTAGCATTATTTTCCAAAACAGGCATTCAGTACCTGGCTCCCAGGTGAGACTAGTGTAGTCCATGCTTGTTTTCTCTGTGGATACTTACAGATTGATCCACTTTCTTTTTAACCTTGAGGGCTCTGACAGCCACAGTACTTGTTTGGAGCCGCACTATGTTAGGTGCCATTAGGACCGTCCACGAGTTAACAAGTCTGCCTAATGGACTAAGTTCATTAGGTGTATGGTTTACATACAACATTTCTGAGTCATTTTTATTCAATAATATTGGCATAACCATCAGCTCGGAGAGACTAAAAGTGAATCAGTGTTTGGGAGGAGGACCCAAAGGGGAGAGTGGGAGCGAGAGGGGGGTGGGAAGCTGGCGAGGGGATGCTGGGGGGGCCACGGGGGCTTGGTGTGGGAAACAGCTCAGCGGTACCCCAGGGTCTGTGGGGCCCCAAGGGCAGAAGGGAGCAGTGGGGAGGGGGAGGAAGGCATTTCCATCAGAGAGAGTGCTGATGCTTGAAGTCCCATTATCATGCTGCTGGGGAGATGTGCATTTTAAGTACCCACGTTTAAAATCCTTCGCTTTTAATTTTGTGTTTGCATATTGCATGAGTGCGCATTTGACCGAATAGCTGACTGTGTGTAAAAGGCGATTCTAAAGCAAGGAATCATCACTTGAAACCTACAGCTGGAGAAAATTTATTCAGGCTTTCCCAGATGTGCTCAGGCTCAGTGTGGCTGTGGCTAAGAGCAAACTGGGAATTTAACAAGCAGGCAATATGTGCTTTTATTGATAGCTCATGGGTGCGGTCACAAAAACCTGGACGAGTGCTGCTGGCAGCTGACAGGGCTAGGGTGGGCAGCAGCAAAGCAGCACAGCAGCCCTTCTCCATACTGCCCCAAACCGCTCTACCCGCATTTTCCTCGGGAACAGGTTCAGCCCCTGCACCACTCCTTCCCTCCTTCTGCAGCCCAGTCTTCAGTGCTGCCCACGGTGCAATAGTCTTGTGAAGAATTGATCTTTTCACCAGGAACACCATTGAGACCACAGATTGAGTCCAGATACGAGGAACTGGAACGAGGTCCCTTTCTCAGACTCGGTGAACTAAATTACAGTTTTCAGTTCCGTGGCACGTTGGCTTCTAGTGAAGGATGACTAACACGTAGTGGCAGGTACCCGAAAGAGCTGCTGTGAACGTAGCGCACCGAGCCCTGCAAGACAGGAGCCGGTGGTCATCATGGGGCTCGTTGCGTGTCTGCCCGTGATGCATGTCAGGATCCAAAGAAAGATGAGCTCTGGAAATTAAAAGGTGCCAAAGAATTCAAAATTGTGACATATTGATTTCTTTGTACAGACACCATATTATCTGTAAAGCTGCAACACGGCACTATAGCTCAATGTTTTTTCTCTTTAATGATTGCTTAGCAGCCCAGTTATAAATACCATTTTCCTATTTACTGACATTTTACATTTATTGAGCATATATTTTATCTAGACTCATAAAGCTAGTGCAGGAATTTTTTAATAAAGGTAAAGCTTGGGGCTGATGTGAAAAGAGTGGTGGTGCTTAAAGGTGTCCACTCCTTTTGCCCTACAGAAGGCATCATCTGACCACGTCCTGCAGCACATGTTGGAGGGGACAGCAGGGGTGAGAGCCCTCTTTTGCCCAGCCACTGGGTGAAGAAGCCCTGGGAAGGCAGAATGCTCTGTGGGGTGGGCACACTGTAATCAAATCACTCTTGCTCTTTTCCAGCTGTAGCAAGTAGGAATTATTTTTTTCCAACTATGGCATCTGCACTCACAGGTCAAGGCAGTGTAGCAAAAAGGTGACAAAACTCCCACTTTGACTGTACCAATCTATGCTAGAATCATAAGGTTAAGACTGTATATTATTTGGAAATCTATGTTAGATTCCTGATTCCACATTTAGTCACCTCTCTGATATTTACACACACAGTGTTTTGAGGAATTATGTGAGTTATTAAATATAGGGTTAGAAAACTAACCTCTCATCCACATTTTATTTTAAACAGCCTACAGATACTGTTTTCTCCTAGGGAGGATAAAGTGTAAGATGAATTAACGATGTACAAACAAGCTGGTTTTGCCAATTATAGGTACAAAAACTTGTAAGGACCTCTGCTTTTAAAGGGAGGCTCAAATAATGCATTTTTTCAGGCAAGCACCAACCTCATTAGATCTAGTTATTTAAAAGATCTTGAAAACAAGAGATATGAATGTCAACCTTTATGGGCACAACTGAGATACATGGCTGGGTTTCATATGATCAGATAACAGTCATTTAAAGCATACACATCCACATCTGAATCCTTCTCCCTGGCTCCACTTACATTTAAAGGAAAGACATTCACTTCTGGAAAGAAATTTACCTCATCCAAATGCGAACATATTTAAGCTCAGGTTTCTTATCATGAAAAAAAAAAAAAAAAGAGAGAGAGAGAGAGAGAGAGAGAGAGAGGGAGAGACCTGTTCAGCTATAAGTGAGATAAAGGATAAAGCCCTCCTGCCTGACCTCCTGCCTGACAGTGAGAGCGATTTACGGGAATTAAAAGCATTCCTGTCCTCATCTGAAAATGCAGATTGTTTCTTTTATTCAAATGTTTTGTGTCATAAGACAGGTACAGACTTTTAAGCATTTCTTACATAGCTTGGTACATAACTTCTACTGAAGACGTGATTGAGTCAAGTCCCATCTTGAAGTCCTTTTCCAGCCTCAATGATTCTCTGATTTAGCATGGACTAGGCTCATCAATTCTGGGTTTTAATAGCTCTTGCATATTTAATTACTTGGGAAAAATTATTCACAGAGACTTGGTACAGTACATGAACTTCATGGATATATTTCTACAAGTTAATTTTCCAAACCAAGCACTGTGCATCCCTGCAAAACCCAAACCCAGAGATCCATTCTTCATCCCATTTCAACTTCTAATTTAAGGCCATTTAATCTACACAGTTTGGCCTGATACGGTTTGAAATAGTGTTATTCATAATGAAGGGGATACTGCTGCACTTCAGGGCCACTGCTGCACTAATGCCCCAGAAAGGAGTTATGGCTCCCTGTGTTTTCTCAGTAACTGTGGGTCAGATTTGGTCAGGCTATAGAGTTTGGGCTTTCAATTTACATGATATTTCGTGTAAGACTAAAGGATGCAACATGAGAGCACAAAGTATTGAGTTTTATTAGAAGCAGGATTTCAGGCATTGCCATCTGTTTGCTAATAGCAGCATGCTCCCTGTTTGTATATTATTTACTCTCATAAATATTCTTATTGACATGAGTTATCCTGTCAATAAGTGCATGTGGTGCATTTGCTTGGCCTACTTCAGTTTCCTCTGAAATTAGCACAGAATTTGCCTTTATCTTCCCTTCCCTCTTCCTGTAGAAAATGGCCTCCGTCTCCCTCTGGGCTACAGCAGGGTGGGAGTTTATCACCACTTGCCATGGAAATCAAAGGGGATTTGGCTGCTAAGTTTCATAGAGAACAGAATTAGTTGGCAGGGGGCACTCAGGAAAATCCTACCCCCACCAGAGGAACTCATCCCTTGCCTGGGAAGGGCTCTGGTCCTCTGAATCTGGGAGGTGTTGGAGTGTGTGCGGAGCTCTACTAGGCTGGCTGGTGGAGGTGCTTGTGTTAAGGTCACACAATACGCACTTGCTGTGCTGCTGGGGTTATAGAGAGCCCATTCTCCTCTAAGTTATTTTTTTCCCTGGTTATCAGAGGCTTGGAAAGAATACTGGGTTTAAATTTTCTTTTACACGAGAAAGAAAATATTTAATGAGCGGCTACGTGCTGTAATGTGCCAGAAAGCTGAGAGAGGAGCAAAGCAGTGAAATCCCCTATTCTGTCAAGTCGAGCATGCTCCTTCAAGAAAATAAGCTGCCAGCGGTTTCATTGTGCTGAGCCACAAATGTGCAAGGTGATTACAGCTGATAAAGCCCCCGAACAGAGCTCGCGGAGCCAGGCACAAAGCGCGCAGAAACCTCGGCGGCGCGAGCAGTGGGCCCACGGCCTGGCCGCGCGCAAGGCCTCCGGAAGGGCTCCGCAGCCAAACAAATTGGAGCTGAACTCCTTAAAACAAAGGTTGGCAGCGCTGTAACAACAACAACGACCCTTATGCTGCAAGAAAAAAAAAAAAAAGGAGAGACTTCTGGAAACTGGCAGTCGAATTGAAGCCCTGCGTGAAAGCTGTGCCTAAAACCTTCCTGTCAATTTGCTTCAAGAACTTTGCTATGCTGCATTTGAGTCATTGTATTCAGCTAAAGAAGCAGAAGTGTTTAAAGAATTTCCACCATGGAAAACATTCAAAGCTGTTTTAATTTATTAAGTTCCTCTTTACTAAGCAACTTTTCTATGGAAGGGGAGCTGTTAATTAGTGTAGATGGTTCTGTCTCAGAAAACCGGGAGCTTGGCTCCGAGAAGAGTTCGCGCTTCTTCAGCCACTCCAGCCATGCTTCTTCACCTTTTCTCAAAAAATATCTGCCAAGGAGCCATGATAGTTTGAAACAGTTATTGTAGGATTTCTTCAACACATGTGCTATTCTTAGTTTGGACAAAATAGACAATCTTTGATAAGCCGTCTGATACTTGTTAGTGTGCTTTTTATGTGAATACACCTTTATTTTTATACCTGAGCTGGAGTCAGTAATTAGCCCATGATGTAGCAAAAGATTATAGTGCCACAGAATTAGAGATGCAAATGGTTTGGTCATGAGTTGGCTTCACTGCACTCCCTAAACTAAATTGGATTAGGGGTGATTGCCTTTCCCTGGCCAGGATTAAAACGATAGCTGGTTTTGAGATCAGAAAAATACTCCCAGGACAAAATCTCAAGAAACTGAAGGATGCCTAGGATTTAATTATTCATCTTGTGATATTTAGTGTTTTTCCCACTGCTCAGTCACTGGAGTCATGAGATCCTGAGAAGCTGAGCTTTTTCTTTCAAAACTAAATTCTCAGCCCTTAAAATTGCAAAAGAGAAAAAAAAAAAAAAAAAAAAAAAAAAAGAAAAGGAAAGAAAAAAAAGAAAGAAAGGGAAGAACCTCTGGAGTGTTAAAGAAATCCAAGAGAAAAAAGATCAAATGTTTTGGAAGAATTGCTGTGTTCCTATGCAGTTTTTGAAAATTTGTGCTTGACAATATCAGTCATTTCTTCTGTCTTCAGCAGTGGCAAGCAGCTAATATTCTCAAGAGATTTGGGTAGTTCATGGGGATAGTTTTTAACCCATTTTTTTCCATCTGATCCTTAGATGCAAACCCATCAGGATGAGGCAGAGCAGAGGATAAAGCAGAGCAGAGGATAAGGCACATTCTCCTCTGCAGCAAGCCACACACGGGCCAGGTGGGAGCTCTCTGACACGTCTGGAGCTGGTGCCTCCTGACAGTGGCTGATATTTACAGTGCTGACAACCCGGTGGCAACTACCCTCAGTCAACAGCAGTATTAATTCCGTATTCAGGGAGCAGATTTTTAAGCCAGGCTGTTATGAAAGCGAGCAGATCAGTGTTAACACGCACACACACTGTCCTAACAGCTGGGTCTTTGCCTCCAGAATGACAGCTGGACAACAGCTGTCACACATTTAAGGCCATAACAACAGCCACCGTGACTTAGGGTAGCGTAATGCCTTTGTCTGACCATGTCCAAGAGGAGAAATACAAGGAACAGGAGATACAGAGAGAAGGCTTTCTCTTTGTGCAACTCCTCAGCTTGCAGCAGTCAGAGCACTGTGGAATCTCTGAGTTACTGGTGACCTCCAGGCTGTCGTGTTAAAAAGACTATGGGATTTGTCTTCCATGAATTTGTCTAAACTCCTTTTGCCATGCGGAATTGAATCCCACACTTTGGTTGGGCATTGTGTGAAAAACAAAAAACAAAACAAAACAAAACAAAAAAACAGTCTGCTACTTTGTTTGGATTAAATCGCTGGTAGTTTCACCACATGATCTTCACAGCATGAAAACGGTGACTAACATTTTCTCATTTATCATCCTCATACCAGCCATTGATTTAAATATCTTTGTCTTAATGCTTCTAAGCTGATGAGCTATTTTCTATTCTATTCCTTTACATCTGGAAGCAATCCTCAAAAAGGCTGAAAAAAAAAAAAAGTAGGAACACAATTTACAAAGATATCAAAGGTTTCCAATATCTGTCTTTAGGACATTCTTTCATTGTCTTTGGTAATTAATTTGCCAATACTACAATCCACATTTCTAACAAGGTCTTTTTGCACAAATTCAAGATACAATACCAAGGTGCTGACTATCTTTCACCTGTGGCTGAATGAAAACACTGAAAAATAGCCAGAGAAAATGTCAGGATAAATAGATCAGAACGCCAAAAACACTGTTGTAGGAAAAAATGTAAGAAATAACACTTCAAGGTTTTGTGGAAGAATCTAATTTGAAGGAACTATTTATAGGTGCTGCATATTATGTTAATTTAGCATCTCCTGACATACAAAGGCTTCCTTTGAGAGCCTTTGTAGAAAAAGAAGGAAGACAAGGAAGCTGCAAGAAAGAGAAAGCCTTACAAACAGAGTTATGATAAAAGCTGCTGCCACTGTAACAGATCATCAGAAAGAGAATGAAATGGTGAGATGCCATTCATCACTTTGAGAAATGCTGATGAACAGCTTGTGGTTAGGTGGGACTACCTACAATATTTATGAAGAGGGCTATGTTATCAGAAGAATGCAATTTTTCCTCTTTGTGGGCTGTTTACAAACCCGTCCTGATTTCCACCAGTCTATTTGTTATTTGCAAGAATTCATTCATATACCTCACTCAAAACAGGAAGAAAAAACTCATTTCGATTTGAGAACGAATTTCATTTCACTGAAATGTTTTTTGCATAAATGGGATGAGAAATTTTCAGCTTGCGGATTGTATGCAAAAAGGTCATTTTAAGTGGGTTATATTCATTGTACTGAGGTCATTGATCACGCTGTTTTTTCTATTGTATGGCTGTATGCATGAAAAACAGGCTCTTTGAAGTGGAAAAACAGACCAGAACTGATGAACTATTGACAATGAATATCAATAATAGATAGCAAACAGAAAGGATCTGAGCATCACAGAATTTCGGGTTGTGTTTTGTTTCTGAAGGTTTGAAGGGGATAGTGGCATACCGACCATCTTCACAGATGTTTTACTTGTAAAACTCCATTTTTTTTCATGGAGACAAAAACAAAATCTTTACAATTTAACTTCTACAAGCAGCAAATATGATATGGATAAAAAATAAATGTCATCTCAGAAATTACATGTTCACGAACACTGCTTTATGGTCAAGCTTTTTTTTCACTGCTGCTACAGGTGACAACAAAACACTAGAAATAATTACCTTGATATTATTATGACTTCTTATCTGTAGCAAGATTTTTTCCGTCTCATCCATACTGTCAACATTACCCTGACATTCAAAAAAACCCTCATATCACTCTCAGTGATGTGGTTTAGTGGAGGACTTGTTAGTGTTAGGTCAGAGGTTGGACTCGGTGATCTTGGAGGTCTCTTCCAACCTAGATGATTCTGTGATTCCGAAAACTGAAGTCACTCTGGAGGTGTTAGGGGAGAACCTCCTGCCTTGGATGTTTGACACTGCAGCGCTGGCCTGGGCGCTGCTTCTTCGGCTGCTGTCGGTAGGGCAGAGAGGGAGGCAGGAGGGGACAGGCCTGAAGTCCATCCAGCACGTGTTGTCTTAACACCATCCCGGATTTATTAGTTGAGTGAACTCACACCGTCAGCTCACATCTTGGGCCAGGAAGTCTCCTACGTTTAGACCAGACATAGGGATGTATATGAAGCAGTCTCACCATCCCTTTTCATTCTTTTTCCCTAGTCATAATCTGCACTTGGGAAGGAGATGCATAAAATTTGGGTCTGTGTCATTTTTCAGATCCGGGATAGAAAGTAGTCATTAATCAGTAGCTATCGGTTCAATAATATGCATTGAAACATCCATCACCATCACGCTTCTCCTTTGAGCTGACAGCTGATATCAAGAATACAGAGCCAAAACTAATTGTTCTGGACATAGGCTTAATTCAGCAGATTTTCTTGTCTTATCACCCCATCCCTCATGGCTAGGGCCACAGAGCATCCAGATCACCTGAATCCAGTTATTTCCATAACTCCCAAGAGCTGAAGTAATCTTCAGCTCCCTAAATTGTTATAAGGTGTCCAACCAGTGCCACCTGCAGTTGGACAGCAGGAGAAGGAGACACCAAAAGCGCCCCAGCTCCTGTGATAAAACATCCCTGTATGCACAGGTGCTGTTCCTTGGGCTTGTTCCATGCATTCAGGTTCATAAGGGGCTCTGCCAGGTTCTTCCTGTGACAGCCTCTCCCTCTTACACTAATACGGGAGGAAAGATGGATTATCTGTTTCAGTAAGTTTGGGAGTGTTTGCCCCCATCAATCTCCATCGCATGCCTTAGAAGCTGGCTCTTAATGCCTTATAAAACCTATGTCTAGGTATGATGGCAGCTTTCACGTTATACCTACTTTTTCCTCATTAAGACTTTAATTCTCATCCCAGATTTATCTACTTAGTAATCGAATACTATCTAAATGATATCAGAACAATTTGAAATTTATGTGAGAAGGATGCAGGCTTTAATCCTGAGAGCCCAAGGAAGTGGCTCAGTTGCCAGCTTGAGTATTTTGCAGCTGGAGGTCACAACTCTTAATACATTCCCTCCCATTATAACAACTTCTCAAGGTTTTAAAAGTTGCCCAGACCCGCATTACTTGCTGAAACATAATCCAGATTTAGAGAAACACTTTCTTCCTGCAGTAGGACCTACTTTAATATTTATTCTAGCATTGTTCAGGGTGGAGGGTGGTGCTATTTAAACTAGGCTAATTCTGCTAGGGTAATGAATTCATTTATATTCTTCTGCGCAAGTGTCTTTACCAGACTTTGGCACTGAGCAACTCTGAATTTTCAGTGATGCAACCAGATAGAATTGAATTGGAAAAAGCTGACATTTCTAAACATATCCAAGTAGGAAATGATTCAGCGGTTCCAAGGAAAGGAGCCAACTGTGAAAGACCATTTGCAATATGATATATCTGGAACTCTAAGCCAACCTTTTGTTTTATGAGCTTCTAATCTTTCTATTTTAATGTGCTTTCCTTTTCCATCAGAAGATTTTGATCACATGCCTGTCTCTTTCGCATCTGGGGGGATGAACTTGCATTGTGACTTTCTAGGGAACGCAGCACAAGGGAAGCTGGAGGTCCCTGCCCTCTACTTGCATGCCCCCCCAAAACCCATCAGCCCAGGCCAAGCTAGCACTGCACAGCAGGGCACACCTTGAACGAAACAGGTCACCAGCAGAGCTGCCGTCATTTGAATGATAAGATTTGACCTTGGAATCAAACTATCAATTTGAATTTGATGCAGAAGTGGCCATTGAAGTATGCGAGTCACATGGGCTCGTTTTATAACAGCCTATTTTACAGCATGTGGAGGTATTGTATGCCCTAGGAGAACAATCAAAAGCTTGTTTTACCTAATAAGGAAACTGCTGAGGCAAATGAAAACCTTACTGTTTTCCAATACATTTCACTCTGATTAATTTTTCAGTTTTATGAAACACGCTGTGGTTATCTTTGAGACATGTTCAGTGTACCAGTGCTTGGACTTTAAACAGCAAACTACTGATGTCTCTGGGCAGATGAGCACAGGCACTCAAAAGCCCAGGGCTCTCATTCATGCTGAACGACAGCATCCACTTACATCTCCCTCTTGTCCTCCTTGCTTGCTTCTGGCTACAGAAATACCCACTTCTTCTGGAACTAAATGATTACTTTCATCTGATAATTTTGACACTTTCATTTAAGAACTTCTGTATCTGCCCTGCAGAAGCTCAAGTTTCAGAAAAATAAAAATGAGGTCCAATTTCATTTTTCTAATTTCTTCCTTATGCAGTTTTCAGGCTTCTCCAAATCAGGCAGTTTGTAATGCAGAAGCCAAGGACGTGTTTGCCATGCTGGTACAAGGAACAGTTGAGGTGTCAGCTCTTCAGGTGGTTTTGCATCATGATTCTGTCCATGAAGAGCATTCTGTAAACTACCAATTTTAATATTAAATACTTCCTAGTCTTCTCTCTGAGATCTGCAGATCACTCTTGGCTTCCTTATTAGCATTAAATAATTCCAGTCTTCAGTCTGACATCTAAAAATTCCTATTGGCTTTTTCTTCTTGAATTTGCTGCTGAGTTGCCAAAACTAATGTGTCATTCTACTTTTGTAACATGGCAGTAATTTAGAGTGGCACCAAGATATTAATTAATGGCCCATGACTGAAGTATAGATTTCAATTGTATAGAAGCACTTTGGCTTTTGTGCTGTGCTTTACCTGTCAATATTCAAGTCTCCCTCCTTGGATTGCAGCTTGCCTTGCCAGCAGCCGTGGCATCAGTCCTAGCTGTTTGCACAAAAAGGTAGGAAGAGTGACATTTATGCTTAGTAAGAGGCATGTTTCCATTTGCTGTAGTGCAACAATCTGTAAGTTTATAGACCCTGTTCTTTTACTCCTTGAACACCCTTTTCCTAATTACAGTATTAGGGATACTCAGTCAGTACTAAAAAAATCATGAAGGACATTCACATTTTATCTTATTTCTGATTTATCTAAAAAGTTATCTTCATTTTTCAGGAACTTTGCCATGCTACAGTAGCAATTTTCTATAGTGTTATCATATCACATCTTACTGAGCTGGAATTCGCTAGTAGCTGGGTGAGAAAATCACTAATAATGGTGACAGGAGATAATGCTGAAAATTGAGCTGGGAATATTTTTCCACCTAGCTCCTGAGAACAATTAGGACACACATTAATGAGGAATTTAAATGAGAAATAAAGCAAGGGTCCTCTTGGACAACACAGATAAGTAAATATCCCAGAGGTGTTATTAGAAAATAATGGAGTTAGTCTCAACTCCATCATAGACTGTGATCAGGCGACGTCTCTTTCCTTTGCCTGATTATTTATAGTGTTGCTGTGCTCGGTTAGGCACACGTAAGTGCTAGGCACCACGTTCCAGAGAAAGTAATTCATTCTCATAATACACAACCAAGTCATGCTTATGTTAACCCGGCAGGAACAGAGTAAAGGCACCGCTGGTGCCACTCACCTTTCCTTACTCAGCTGCCTGGATCTCTGCAACACCCCTGAGAGCTGGGGCACTACAGGATGGAGCTGTTGGCACACAGCCGTGTTGGAGCCTGACCCAACAACACGCAAGGTCCCTTCCATTGCTGCTTCCCAGGGCATGGTTAGCCTCTTTATGAGCCCACAAACCCTCTCTCTAATGCATACGTGAGTCAGGCAGATCAGGTAGCCAAGGGCATGGACACTTTTCAGAGCAGCAACAAAGGGCATTGAACCCTCACACTGCTCCCCCCGCTCGGTGCTGGTGGGAAGGCCCTTGCATCACTCCGACAGCCCTGCCAGCAGCCAGGGCAGGATTCCAGGCATAGGTTTAAACATTCCTGGGATGAAAGGTGCCGTATAAATGTCAGTCATCGTGTTGCCTGTTGGCAAAGAGTTAGGTGACTCATTTTATCACCGAGGCTATTCCTAGAAAAAGAAAATGTAAGTGCCTTAGAAAGGGAGAAGGGCTCCAAGCACAAGAAATCTTATAGTCTTTATAAGGGTGTCTTAGGTATCTCAATTAAGTACTGATGAAATCCTGAGTGATTAATGATCAGAGGAAATAGCAACTGGTTTATGTTACTCGTTGTGCAGTATCACCCAAGGACCCAGCAGGGGGATCAAAGATCTGCTGTGCAAGAGCCCACAGATGCGTGTGCAGGCAATCAAAGGAAGTTTTCCAGACAGAACTGTGGGTCTGCAGTATTTTACAAATTGTTGAGCTGCATGAGAAAATCTTGGGCATCCTAAATAGATAACTCTAGAACAAACACGGCTTTTTTTTTTTTTTTTTTTTTTTTTTCCATGTGTACTCATTTTCATTTACCTATTACCAAACTTTCCTGCAGGGAAGATTTGCACGCAGATGGCATGTATCCCTTTATATCATTAGAGAAGTTGAAAAAGGCTGCACATATACCAGTGATTTATACAGCTGCTAGGAAGAAAACTAACTCTGTTCCAGCAGAAAGCAGGACATCAGAGCATATGTTTTTGAAGCAAGTCACCCTATCAACCCTGTTTTTGTTTGCTTTGTGGTACGGTCTCAGGGTGCTCAAGCTGGATTACTTTCGGATTAAATTAAACATGAAGACATGCTTCAAGACTGTACCTAATGTGCTCCATTCGGTACAGTCCAGCACATTAGGTACAGTCCAGGAGCATGTCCTCGTGTTTAATTTAATCTGAACCTCCTCCTCCTCCCCTCCCCACCCTGAATAGCGTGGACATTGGATCCCCAGTGCCAACTGTTTCACTCTACGGACCTACTCCTGTTGCCTGGCACTACTTGCCAGTGTGGGTGTCCATTCAGACCCGCCAGCCAGACTCACGCTGATTTATGCGTCTGATGATCTGCTCAGCAGTATGGGCTCTCTGCTGCTTCCGATTCTGTTGGAGCACGTCAGCTGACACATCTCCAGGCCTGCGGGCTGTACGCTTCCAAATCTGAACCCCCAGACTATATGTCAGGCTGTCCACGCATTCCTCCTCATACAGACCCACACAACATCCAGCTCCTTTCTTCTTGATTCCCCACAACATTTTCTTATCACTTGTTTACACCTGTGGATGTCCTCAGCCCTATTTCTTCCTGAGATATAATCTGAAATCATTCAGTGTAGTAAAGCAAAGATAAGTTAAAATCTATTTAGTAAGCAGGCTTGAGGGAGAGCGTTATTGCACCAGAAGGCATTCGGGATATTGCCAAACAATTATTTCACCTATTTCAGTTACCCGTGTGCTGCAGACGTGCTCGTATCTTCTTCTTCTCTGCTTTTCCATTTCTTCCCAGAATGAACAAATTCTGGAGAGACTGCTTCCTGAGATTCGGGGCTTGGCTAAATGCCTGTATTCAAAAATTGCTCCATTTCAGACAGAAAAAAAAAAAGCCATCAAGGTAATATATGGACTTGAAAACTCAGCTATAAGCACCTGTTCATCTCTTCATAGACGAAGTTCAGTTGAGTGCATTTTGCTTCTAAAATTGTCCTGACGCTACTGGGAATGTTGGCTCACAGCAAAGGAAACGAGCAAATGAAGCAGCTCTGCCAGCCACCGCTGTGAACATCAGACGTGTCGGGAGCTGGGGGAAGACTTACTATTCTCCTCGTGGTTACCGACAGATTTGACTGTCATACTTTATTTTCCATGACATTATGTTCAGACGAGAGGGATATATCCGAAAGGGTTTTCGTATCTAACCTGGGGCTGCACAGAGCTGGGCTGCCCGTGATAGGGCAGCTTAGTTAAGGGTTTTTATGTTTTTCATGAGCGAGGACAAGATTTTGAGAAGGGAGTTTTGTTGTCAGATGTCAGAGCTCCACACTACTGCCTATGTCTTTGCTGCTGCTGTTGCCTCCCCAAAATAATATATAGTAAAAGAGATGCTAAAAACACAGTATGAAGACAAAGATAAGTACTTGACTAAACAGGAAATGTTTTTAAACATATGTTGATGGAGTCTGAACACAAATCCTTGATTCACAGTCTTTGACAGTGAGTACTTTGACCCAAGCTCCTTCCGAGATTGCCAGTGGCAGAAAACAAGGCAAGAAGCCATCCTTGATTCAGGGAGCTATTTGTTAGGCACTCTACAGGGCACCTACCAAATTCTTCTTTCTCTTGACAAACTCCACTTCTAAAAACCAGCCAACCAAGTAGGAAAACGCAATTGTATGAAGCTGTTTATCCAAGGGAAGAGTGGGCTATTTACTCGAGTGTGATGATCAAAATTCAGGTCTGTTGGCAAACCCCATAAATTCAGACCACCAAAAGTTGTTGGTGCCTGCCTTTCACTGAACTCTTGACGTGACGAAACCAAATTTTGTTCCCCATACACAAAACCTAAAGATTTTATTTTTTTTCTCCATGACAAAATTTGCTTCCAAAGTGAGAAGCTAGAGACTCACCACTGCATGCTGGTGCAGCTTCACCAATGCCAAGGGAAGATCTAGCCCTCTGCTGCTGTAGGGTGGAGATAGGGACACGAGAAGGGACACATTTGAAAGATGTGACTTCTCTGGAAGGCTGGTAAACAGACACTGTTTGTTCAAGTTTTATTATAGAACAGCATAGCCACATGAAAGATGCAACAGATCTTTGCTTTGTGCATTGATCTATCAGATGAGAAAGGGTTCAGACGCGGCCAGGTGGAAGAGTACATTTATATTTTCTTTCAAAGTACACTCTTGCTTTTGTTGTCCTAATTCACTATTCTAAGAGCCACCCAGGACCCAGAGCCTTTTCAAGTCACTTATCTACTGTCATTTGCTGATAATCCCAGCTCCCCCAGTCTATTCACCCTCTGGTACCTCCTCCTGATGCTATTGTCAGCTACTGGGAAAAGAAAAAAAAAGAAAAAAAGAAAAAAGCAAACCACCCCTCCTAGCCATGTTGTCCTCCATATTATTTCACTCCAGAGGCTGGTACTCACATCATTAAATTGCTTTGTCTCTTGCTGTCAGTTATGCCTACAGAGCTTCTGGTAGGTCCCCTTCCCTCCTGCTCATCACGACGCACCTTTCCATATAGCTGTGATTCTTAACTAGGAAAATAATCGTTCGTCTCTTTCATCTCTGTTGTCTCAGGGCTTTCAATAAGCACCTTCCCGGTAGTTATTTATTGCTGCCAACAACACACCAGTCACTCATCAGGTTCATTCTGCAAAGGTAGAAGAGCACATTTGGGGAGCGGCTACTAGGGGAGCAGTGCAATGTTTCTTGAGCTGATGGGAGCCCTGGGGCTCTTGCATGCACGTATCTATTCCCCCACTGGAATTAGGAAGCATCAATTGCCAGAAGCACAGATCCTCTTCACAATCAGCTTATAACTCAACCTTACTGCTTTTTTTTCCTGCTTCCAACTAACATCTTTACAAACAGCTGAATATCACCTTCTGAGAAAGGCTTTATACTTTATAATTATTGTATTACTTATGTCAACAGCTGAAATAATGACCAACACTTTTTCTTGTATGGAGAGCTGTATTATGATTCTTCAGTGTCCAGAATATTTCTTAACTACATTTCTGACTTACTAGATCAAGGGAAACATTTGTCCTAGAGTTCACTTGATTATAGATTGGTGTCACACAAATTAGGACAATGGGCCATGAAAGAGACTAAAACGTGCCAACTTGGAGCCATATTGTTAGTTAGGTGATGTGCAGGCAGGCTGAGAGGGGGCTGCTTGGATTCTTTTCCCTCCCTCATGTGCTATTTCTTCACGGTGTCTTAATTTTTACATTTTGTTGTAATAATGACTCACTGCACTCAGAAGCTGTAACTCAGAATTCTCCAAAAGCTCCCAGACCAAGGAATACTCCTTGATGCAAGGAGTGGGAGCATAAACAAAATTTGATTCAAAATTAGGATGTTTTAGGAAAAGAAAGGAGTAGCGAATAAAATGTTTCATGAAGACGGTTAAAAACTGCAAGAAAGGTGAAATTTTCCAGGAATGTTTCAAACAAGTGGAACAAACTCAAGGGACCATTACAGTCCCTTGAAAGATGGCCCCTAGGGGTAGGTATTTTAAAAAATATTGTCAGGGGAGAGGCACTAGGTTTTCATCTGTTCAGGTTTACCCAGGTAAGTGTTCAAGTGTTGACGTCTGAGCCAACGATCAGTCAGCAGTAAGATACTGAAGGGGTACAACACATCTAGGAGAAAAAAAGAGTTCTTATCAAAGATATCAGCTCCAACAGGAACCAAACTGAGGGAAAAAAAAAAACTTCTGGGCCAAGTATGGCAGATCTGGAACTTGTCTTCACTCAAAATACATTTTATACTGTTATAATCACTGGGTCAGAACAAATTGTAAAAGGGGCTCAGATATCAATATCGGGGGGAAAAATAATCAACAGTCCTGATGTAACTTGAGAAAAAGCTGGGATTATTCAGCGTTAGCAAAACAGATCCAGATCTAATTGCAAGAGTTAGAAGGAAGAGCAGATGGTATTACAGCATGGAGGGATAAACCCAAAGTCACTGAGAGACAAGGAAAAAATAAGGAATTTTAGGATTTTTGCAGGCCAGCATCCAAACGTTGAGAAGAATAGTTACATCTGTAGGGAAATACATTTTGTAAGAGCTTTTAGATCAGCTACCTATAACAACCTGTAAAGAAACAGTGAATCATTCAGTCTACATAGTGAAAAAGAGTGTTTTGAAAGGGAATCATTCCATCAGAATATTATCCAGAGTACTGGGGCCCCTATTAAGTAGAGGTTTGTATCAACTTGACGTTGCCTTTTGAGCTAACCTGGGATCTCAAAGAGAAAACCTGGTACTGCTGGTTGCTCTGTGGGCTGCTGTGGTGGGCATTCAAAGGCTTCATGCACAAGGGCAATAATGTCTCAAAACCTCCTTTCTACGCAATGGACTACTGCGTCTGTTGTAAAGGGGAAAAAAGGTCAAATACCCATTCTCATTAAAAAGTAAAAGAGTCCGATAAGACAGAAAGCAAACACACAGATAAAAAGAACAATGGACAAAACAGAAGTCTAGAAATGGCAAACGAAGTATAATCCAGAGCAAGCAGACAAAAGGGCAGAAATAAGATAACAAAAGGTACTGTTACCATCAACAACATAAAGAAGAGTCTCGTGTTTTATTCACAGCAGTCACTATAACGTGAAATGAACTTATTTGTGCTAAATAAATACATACTGCATCTGGATTATTATTCGCACTGCTTAGAAGTAGCACTGTGACAATGCAAGACACCAAATTGCATCTTATCTACTGGCCTCCACATATGGTGATGGTAAGTACTACGCTCACACGTGATTTTGATAATTTCAGGTGCTTTTAAGAAGCGTGTAAGGCACAGTCCAAGGCCTTGCTGGAAAGCAGTGTTGAAACTGCCAGGAGGCTTGGGGAGAGGAGTAAGACCAGCACTGCCAGGGGCACTGGGACTGCCGTCTGCTGTTTGACACAGACACCACCTCAGCATGGAACAACTGCTGTTAAAAGCAGTTAAAAGCATTAAAATTTCTTTAAAACACAATAAAAAAATAATGAAACAGATCAAAAAGAAAATGTATAATCAAAAAGCTCATATGACCCGAAGCCCTTGTGGTGAAGGGAAGATTAATACAGGTAAAACAGAGATGTGGCTCAGGTATGTGCTCCAGCCCCGAGTTCTCCTTGATCAATCCCCACAACACTGCAGCACATACAATTAAAATTTAGATTTTCTTCAATTTAAGACACAAACTGAAAAGCAACACGAGGGGCTGCTTTCCAGAATGAATCTCCCTGTTCCAAACACCACTTGATGACTGCTGTTGGGTGCTCCAGGCCTTGAGCAGCAAGCCTTGTACAGGCTACGAATTGTGCTTAGGGCAGAAAACTGTTTCCTCAACAGAAAAGGCTTTTCCATTTCCTACAGGCATTGCACATTTCACAGCCTTTCCACTGCTGACCTTTTAAGAGCTCCTGTGATAAACTGCTTGGAGGAATAGCCTCGCTACACCTTTTTCTCTCATTAAGTTGTTTAAGCAGACTAAGGAAGTATAGCATTTGGACAATAGCAGGCAGCAGAGGTGACCTCTTTCCTGCTACCTAAACAGAGCCAGAGACAGAGTGCAGTTTTCTTTAGACTTGTAAGTGTTTCGGGGGGATGCTAAGAGGATTTCACAGCAGGAGACTGGGGACTGCAGAAAAGGATGCTGCAGGTGAAGGCAAGACAATTGTTTGCTCCAGTTTGGGAACACGGCACCCTTCTTACCCTCTCAAATCCTCCTGGTCCTCCTTTGACTTTTAGAAGTTCACAGCATTTACATTATGATTACCAGTCACTCTTAGCCTGGACTCCTACGGATTGTAACCCACCCGTTTCACCACAGCCCCAGGTATTCCCTACAGATCCTGCCTCAGCGGCCCCAGTTCCTGCTCTCACGTCCCTGAAATCCTGGCTTTCTTTAACATCCCCTAAGTACCAGCCAGAGAGGCCGGTGGGGCAGTGGCTGGTTCAGAGCCTGTTGGTGCTGGCAGGGCAGCCATGGGTGCACCCCAGGCGAGTCAAACACAGCAGGTAACTGCTCGGCTGCTGCTGCCACCTTTCTTTTATGCTAAAACTCAGTTGCTACTTTCTTTTCTATCCAAAAACCAATTTAAATATATTCATATATATGTCTTTTAGATGTTACCTGCCTCTTTTTAATGTGGCTGAAATTCGCAACTGGGTTGAAAAGCCATTGGAGAGGGTGCGGGATCAGGCACAAACAGAAATTAGTCCCATATGCATCATCCCTCAGGGAGCTGCTAAGAGACGCAGCACTTTGAACCTTCTGGTAGGCAAAAACTTCAAAAATATGAGATCGATTTCCGACTTTGAGAGATCGTCTACAATGCTTTCCTCCATTGGTTCCACACGGGGTTCAGAAGTGGTGGAGAGTGACCTGTTTTGGAGAGTTTCTCAAGGTAAAGGAGTTAGGCAGCAGAGATATGACCTGCCTGCTCCTGGTGGGGCAGCCTATGGGCCGTGTGGTGCAGGAGGCCTCTGCCAGTGTACATGTGGCAACGCTGTTTGCAGAGCAGCTACAGCACAGTGGCTGGAGTGTGATTCACCTCAACGTTTAACCCGATGTCTGCCATAGGTTAAATGAATGAGCCCTCTGTGCGCCCGCTTCTCTCTCCTGATTCGAAATGAGCCTTGGTGTCCACCGCAGCTGCAAACATCTGCACCATGGACACCCAGCTACGTGGAAGGAATCTCACCTAGGAGTCCAGGCAGTAACTTCCCTTTCATTGTACTTCCACGTAAAAAGCTTCTCAGACTGAAAAATGCAAGTACACATAAAGCAACATGACGTGTCATTTTTACAGGATAATCTTGCTATAAAATGCATGGGTCTTGAGTAAATCTTTCCTCGTGGTGACAATGTTGTCTGCATTAGCCTGACAGGATGCTATCATTCAGCTTGCGATTGCTGAAGCTCCAGTGGACTAAGAGAACTGCACTTCATTAAAATCCACTTCTTGGTACAACCACTGCCAACACCACGAGCTGTCTCTGCAATTAAGAAAATGTAAAATGATCCCCCGCAGAGAAGAGTACAGTAGCAATGAAGGGTATAGAGACAAGTCCAACCCTAAGCCAGCAAATAATTTTCTTTTTACAGCTTCCCAGAAAGGACTTGGCAGGGGACAACGAAGCACAATCTATTGGTGAAGGCAATCAACCTACTTCCATGCCACACTGAAATGCGTTTCACTAAACTGTACTCTGAAAAAATAGATTCTATATTTATATATGTGTGAGTATGCCTGCATATATGAATATGGCTACACATGAAAGGATGTATTTCCTTCCAGAAAGGAGTATTCTGTAACTAGATTGAAAGCTTAGAGCAGTCACTGTTACCCAGAGTGACCACTTCTGTCTCTTTACCTCGTAGAAGGAGCATTACTATCCAGCCACTGACACCGCTTACCCTGGCAAACTCTGCAGCTCTGCTCCGTGATGTTTTTCTGCTGGATTCTCATTATCACACTTTCTGATCTGCCTGAGGCAGCTATTAAACCCCTTGTCAAGTCACAGCTTACATCTTGACTGTGAATCATATCTTCTTTTAGCTCAAATTAACTCTGCATTTCAATATTCTGAAATAGATACTGTGCAATTAAAGCATTTTAAAGCATTAATTGATACTTATGGCAATAGCTCATTTTGTTGTTTTGTGTCAGAAAACCTGTTTGTCTGCAGATACTATATTATTATCATTGGTTTTAGTGCACCCTTTAGTTTTACATCCAATAAAGAGCATCAATTCTTTGTGGAGACAGTGCAATGTTCTCAGTGTCAGAAGGGACTCACACAGACAGAAAAAAAAATTGTCTTTGCCTTAAACCAAGTAAGGCCTAATACAACGAAGTGAGAGAACTGCTGAACTTCTTTCAGTTTTCAAAAAAGAAAAGCGATCTAGAGAAATGTGATTTAGAAATCCTAATTCAATATAGAACAGGAAAATACATATGCTCTGCTTTATCCTCATATGGGGGTACGTAGCAGTTGATGTAGACCAGCAACTTTCACGGCACTAAGCCAGTTCCCACTGAATTACCAGCTGGTCCACTTTCAGTGTCAGAAAAAACCTAGGAAGCATGGAAACCTTCTCAGTTTACCTCAAATATATAAGATCAGCATTTAGACTTTGGAAATAGTTGTTTTTTACTGTATGCTGTTGTCAAATCCCACGTTCCTACCATCTAAACGTTTTGTTCATCCTTTCCTTTCTCAACCAGTTTCTTGTCTGTCACAACATTAAACCTCAAAATACGGCTCCTTCAGCTCGTTACACTTCCCAAAGGACAGAGTGGTGAAAAATGAGATGGGTGAACTGTTAGAACAGGGATTATTTTAACCTCATCTATGCTGCCGGACTGAAAGCGATGAACCAGTGCAAGACTCTTGACTCATGGCCATGGCTGGGTTTCCTCCGAGGGTTTCCCACAGCAGAGGGGAGCTGGAGGCTTGCTGAGCCTGAAGCCAAACCCTCCTGTCTCCTCCCTCCTGCAGATCAGCAGAGGTGGATCTCAAATTGCGGGATTGGTAGCAAAACTCTGACACCCAAAGGCTTCACAGAAGTGGCTGTTAGGTGTTTCAGACTGAAAATTTGAGAATTTTCACACTATGGAGCTGAGGTATATCAGGGTTCACCTCCTAATACACGGAATGAACCAAATGCTCCTTTGGACTCAGGCAGCACAAATGCAGGCATGACTGCCTTCAGGAGGAGTGGGCTGGTTCCTGGCTCCAGCTCCTGCCACTGTTCTCCGAATTCCAAGTCAAAAGCACCAGCAGAGAAAACAGACGGACTCTCATTCTTCACTGCCATCATACGTCAGAAGATGTTTCCACTCCGTTGCTAATTTTGGGATGAAACAAATTAATCTGGGCTAAAAGACGGCGTGGTCTAAGTGTCAGAGGAGGGCAAAATTAATACAGTTGGAATCTCATAAAAGGAGACCGTATTTTTGAGACCTCAAGTCTGGGATTAATTAATCCTTTCCCATTTCTCCTCCTCAAGCAATATTATATTACCTCTTTCCACCCCCTCTCTCTCTCCCCTCAGGGCAGAAGACCCAGGAAATCTTTCATCTAGTTTTAATGACCGCGTGCTAAGCAACCGGGAGCTGTTCCTTTCTGTCCCTCGCTCCCTGTGGCCACTTCCCACTTCCCCGACTTGGCAGGCTTCGCTCCATGTTGCTCCTTCCACAGCTTCTTGCAGCTGGCCTCGCTAAAGCCTCCCCCTGGCAGCCAGCAGCCTCTCCACCTACTGACCCCGTTCTGCCGGGGCTGCGGTCCCGTCCAGCAGCTCTCCACGTGGGAGCCTGCTCACAGCTGGGGAGGTAGCACTGCTTTTTCTTCACCCTCTTCCGCTCTGCTGTCTGTCTGTTCCTCCATCCTCAGTTGCAGGACCTGGAGGCCGAGCTGGTCAGGGTTTTCCCACATACAGAATGCGTTTTGGACAGCAAATTTTACATTTTCACAAAAACGGAGTGTTCAGAAAAAGTTTTAATCTAGAACTGGTTCAGAACAAAACCACACCTTCACAGCTTTGTTTTTCTAAAACTCTTGTTCTGAAGGAAATGGTGGTGTTTCCACTGTTTGCATAAATTCAGGAAGGAAAAACATCAGCATTTCCCATGGACTACACATTCTAACTTCAAACTAAATGTCCTTAAAAAAGCTTTTTAAGAGTCAAGTCCTCAAGCTTGTGTAAGTCATTGTAATGCCACTGAGGCGAGGAAGCAGTGGATCTGCTCCCATTATTTGTAGCTCCAAACCCACTGTGAACTGCAAGCTCACCCAGCTATGAAATTTTAAAAATTGATCTCTTAAAGGTTTTTCTAAACTGTCCCATCCTCCCCATGTACCAGCTCAAAGCGTATTACTTGCAGATGAAACCCCCTGGTAAAGACTGCACCACGGCACACCTGCTGTTTGGAGCTCAGTGTACTCGCACAGTAATTATTTCTTACTTTCCCATGGAAGAGGAGTTGCAAAGGGAAACAACACTGGTTAGTCTGAGTAGAGCTCTGAGGGCATTTACTATCATCATGAGACCAATAATTCTCTTCCTGTGGTTTCTGAGAGAGAAATGCTGAAATAATAGCTTGGTTGGAGCTGACTTTAAAGCATGCCTAATTATCTCATTCAATGTGCACCTGTTACAGGTCTTAGAGTTTCTGGTAAATAATAAAGTAATTTAACCCCTCCTGCAATTTGAGGTTTCCTGCTTTTGTTGTGGATGCTACAACTCTGAAACTAAGCATTCCTTGGTCAAAATGAATAAAGAAATAAACGTTCAACATTATCAAAACAAGGGTAATACCCTACCTCAACCAGAGGAAATACTCAGAAACGCTACTCTGAACGCTTGAGTACAACAGTCACAGCGACACAGGGAAATATGAAATACACTGAGGAAAGATTATCACTGGATAGATGCAATGTACCTGCAGAGTATAAATGAATAAAAATAGGGTTAAAGCCACCTTAAAGGTAGAAATCTTAGTATTAGTAGAAAGCACCCCGAAGGTTTAAGCATCACCTCCAAAGCGAAGAAGAAGCAGTCATCTTAAGGCAGGAAGATCACCCCAACAAGCCTTGGAAAAGAGGCTTTGCAACTGGCTTCTCAGCAAGCACTTAGCAAATAAATAAATAAATCCTGAGCAGATTCTCTTCAAACTGAGTCAGGAAACTTTAAGGCCACTGTTAGAGACGAACCTTTTTGCTAGTCCTCAGAACTGTCAGGCTGACATTTCTCCCAGGAATGTCACAGAAGACCGTAGTGAGGAAGGATAGCTTCCATATTTTAAGCATGCTTTCTGCCTGCATACCCAGTATTTCTCCTTCCTACATACTTCATGTAGTGATATTGCATAGCACAGAAAAAGAAAAGGATAAAAAAAAAGAAGAAGATACAGCCTATGCTGAAGAAGATGTCACGAGAAAGATAGGAGACAGAACTATTTACACATGGCATCCGAAACCCTGAGTAGTTTTACTTCTGCTGCTTGAAATGTTCATGCTCTCAAGATGGAATCAGGTCAGTCTAAGGAGCTACTTCTTCCAAGAAGTCCCTGACACCTTGGAAGTAAACTTTGTTAAAACACTAGAGGAAGGTGTTAAGTTTTTTAACATGTAAAAAGCAGCACCTGCAAACATGTAGTGTGCCCAGAGATGAAACACAGAACAGATATACAGTGAAGCATGTCTCATGTATCTTCTCAATACCATGGGCTAAACAGCAAGCTTGTTCCAGTCACAAGCACAGCAGCCATCTAGGAGTGACTGACTCAGAAACACGCTGTCTCTTCTTCAGTTCCCTAAACACACACCCTACATACCACCCTCAGCACACGGCTACAGCTGGCCACTCTTTGCCTCACGCAGAATTTAATGTTAGCTCCATTGTTCTCTGCTGGCTTTGTCCTCTGCAGGCTGGAAGCAGGACACTCTGCCCCCTGCTGCTTCTGGTCACCCAAGCTCCTTGCTGAGGAGCAAGATGCACTGCCAGATCTCGCAGCATGAAAATGAAATGCGCCACAGTCTTGCTCTAAGGTGAGAAGGAAACTTTACAAACAATATGAGGGCGATTGAGCTATCTCCAACTTAGCGCTGTTTAACAGCTGAAGGATTGGAGCTGGGGGAGTGAAACAACAGAACTGACAAGAAATGGCTGCCTTTTACAAGAGATCTTGTGATTGTTCAATTTTTGTCAGCAGCCTGCACAGATCCGAAGGATGCAAGACAAAAAGAGAAGCATGCTTAAATATAGCACACATTGAGAAAGAAACCCTGAAGTATAATTCACGCTTCAGACAGGAGGTGAAATCACTGTTATCTTTCCCATAAATATTTGCAGCTAAGTGTTAAAACTAATGTTCAAGAAAGTGGACAATAAAACTGCCATAAACTCAAGGAACAAAAACCACATGCCAACCACGCAAGTGCAGTGACTTCATAGTCAGTAGATAATATCGTGATAATATTTAAGTAACTGTACAGGTGGAAAAAGCAGACAAACAAAAACCTCAAAACTCTTCACACAAAACAGACATTATTCAGGAGGCAATCACACTCATTAAAGAATTAGTCTTGAATATTTTATCCTCAACCTGCCATCACTGGGAGAATGAAGATACCTCTACAGAACCTAGCAGCTGCATCCATTGAGCCATACCATAATGCAGCATTCTTCCAGCTGTGCACTGTGGACTACTGCTGACTCACAACAAAGCAGGGCACTAAGAGAACCAAAAATCTTCTAAATCATACATTCATTCCTCCCCCCACACAAACACACGCAAGAAGTGGGAAAATAAAAAATAATCATTCAAAACTTCAGTTTCATGGCAAAAGAAAAATATCATGTCAACACTGTCTAATGTGGCTTTTACAATGAGCAAACCTTTCCATTTAAAAGGGTTGAGAAATGAAGAAGCCATTCCCACCTTTTTTTTTTTCTGAGCTGAGTTGCACACTGTAGTAACACATTTCTATCAGTCACTAATTATGTCTATTAATTTTTTCAAAAAAAAAACTTTCAATACTATGTATGAACGTAGTGAAAATTATAACATTAGACAAAGCAGACGCTGCCTATGGATTAAACAGAGCTGTACAGGCAGACCCAAGATCCGAGCCACTCTTTCTGTCTTGAAAAAAGTTGGTTTGTGTCTCTGCTTTCTTGCTGTTAGCCCAAAGATATTATCAACTTTTTGAAGATTCAGTACCATCATATTTAGTAACTGGGCATCTTTCTTCAGATTCCCAAATCTACAAATATGCTTGATATTATAGTAGTAAGGACAGAGAACAAATAAATAAGTTAAGTAATCCACATCTGATTAAATGATTATTTTTGCTTAGAGTTGATAGACTGAGAATGTCCCAAGGTGTTCACAGCTGATGGTTAGGTGAAGGTTCTGTATAGTAAGTTTCTGCATAGTTTCTGTATAGGAATTCTAGAGGATTTTTTTTCAGGATCATTTTGTTCTGAGAGACAGGCCATTTCACTAGTTTACTTGCTACGATGAAGAGATTGGACAGTAAAATCAACTGAGGTCATCACAGATGATCACTATAAAAGACTGCTTCTGAAAAAAAAAAAACCTGGATGTTTACTTTCAGCAATATCACCTCTTTGAATGCAAATGGGAGCCATGTACCAGTTCCGGCTTCCACTTGGCTGCGAGATCCACCAGCTGAAATTCAGTCTCTGTTTTCTCACAGAGTGAATTCAGTCTTAATGGTCTTCCCAGAACTAATTTAGACAATATTGTAATTTACTGCCTTTCGTACTCAATTTTCCTTCTTTCCCTCATGATATGAAGGTCTCATTCCATTATACAATGCAATTTCAGACAAGATAGATTAAGAGACAAATACATTTGACTACACACCCCGGACTACAGACCACTTCAGAGGGCGTGGAGTGTGAAGTAGTATACCCATGTGAATCTTTTTTTGCTCGTCATTTGCAATTTGTTCTGGTGAACCTGGAACAGCCACTTAAGGGCAGGCAAAGTGCCATTTTATGAGAGTGGTATGAACACAGACCGCCAAGAGACTACATACGAAAATCAAAGTTACTCAGGTGACAGCAGCATTCCAGGCCAGGAATGTCAAAGCAGCTGTGAGGGCTGATCTACCCTGCCTATTTTTAATGAGATGTGTCATTGGGCCTAGATTAATTTCAGAAATAAAAGATACTTCTGCAGATAAGTGAAGAGAGATTGTATGACTCTGCTGATTCAGATTTGTATAATGCAACGGCAATGTACTGCTGGAAATTTTCTGGTCTTTTGGCGCATTCCTCAAGGAGCAGTGATGGGTGCAGCCACTGCAAAGCTGTGAGGCAGGTGAGCCACCATGCAACAGCCAAGGCTTTCTATGAGATAGTGCTAACAAGGAGGCCACAGTTTACTTTTTTCCTGCTAAATCCAGATTTACACAGAATATATGAATGGTTATGTCCCATCAGACTCCTGTTGAGATCAGTGGACATTCTTCCATTAACTTCTATAGAAATCACGCTGTTTTAACCTTGGTAGTGGGCCAGGACAAATAAATCCTCTCTTATAAATTTAGATCAGAAGTCCACTTCTGCAACTTTCAGATTAGGAGATCTTAGTCTGCATTATAATACCTCTGACTAACAGGATTTAGCCTCTATATGCAGTTAAGCTCCTTGGGGTTACAACCACTTGATTCCTAATTCAAAAGAAGTAGGTGTGAATGCTCACATACTGCTTTATCTTACTGTCATGGCAACAAAATCCTCATAGCTGCAATGTCGTTGTTAGTTATACAGCAAAGGACAGCCAGAGGATGTTCGTTGCCTGCACCCCTGAAAGGTTAATACCACTAAAAGCCCTGTTCCAAAACATTGAAATATCTACTATTGTAATACCTATTTCAGGATCATTGTAATGTAATTGTCTTCATATTGTCATGAATCTGTCATGTTGACAGATGCTATATGTCTTTTTTTTTATGCCCTGTATTGTTCTGTCATGTTAAAGAGAAGTTAAACCAATAGTACTATTCCCACTTACCTCTTTTTATATGGAATATAAAAAGGAAGTCTGACTACTAGTAAATACGTTAAAGTTGGAACCTCAAGATTTGTGAAATAATTCCAGGTTAAAAAAAAATAAATAATATATATATATATACACACAGTACTTATAAACAGATACCAGTCTGGTGTAATACTCTGAACAGTATGAGCAGTACTGAATGATAATGTCTGTATGAACTGACCTCTACATGCTACTATAGAAAAATAATAATAAAAAAATCAAATCAAATCAAACAGAACACAGTTTAAAATATGGCTTTTAATTGATGATGAATTTCTACAGTGCTACAGCAATTTAGCAATCTCTAAAACAAATATCTGAATCTCTAGCTCATCAAATCTTATGATCTTTACAAATAAATAAGTTATTAAAAGTATCATAGCGAGCGTTTTCCTGTCTGTGTAAACTGCTAATGATAATAACGCATTCCAGGAAAAGTAACAATAATGAACAGCTGCAGTGCATTTACATTTTTAAGAATCTTTAAGTACAATCTATACATGATATGCTTACATAAATATTTCCGTACTTACACTTTACAAAGCCATCTGAAAGGACATAAAATACAGTCAAGACTGAACAGAGAAGCAAGAGAACTGCAAACAAAAAGACAACATGTTTCAGTTGATACAACATGACATGGAAAGTAGTACACATTTACATTTTAGAACTCTAAAACCATTAGCAGTTGCAGGCCTGATCTTGACAACCAGCTCCTGTAAGAGAGCTAGAGTTACCCAACATTCAGGTTCTCCATAGTTTGTCTTGGTGCAGACTTAAGGTCACTTTTTCGACTTATTCCTACTGTGACCTAAGAATTCACTGGATAGGTCCCCTGATCTGCTAATAAGGATGAAGAACTTGTTAACATCTGTAAAGCTTCCTGTCCTACTAAAGGCACTCAAGACCCCTTGAAAGGCATCAGTGGCTTACAATATCAGACACTGAAACAAAAGTACCATACCCTATTAAGGTGTGCCACCACAAAAGCAAAATTAAGGGACTACCCATGGCAAATGTGAACCTGCCATTTTAACGGCCTTGCAAAACTTAGCAAAACTTCACATTATTGAACTCATTTGAGCAAGGGAGCACAGACAGAAGAGCGTTGCAGAAACATAAGGTGTCTGTTTCTTAAACGGTCATTACAACAAACACATATTAAAACATTTTAGTGGGCTACGGTTAATCATCTATAAAAATCTGTGATAAGCATGAATTTAAATTGTAAACTGATCATAAACAATACAGTCTCTCTGAGCACATTTTAAAATATACAATGTGAAATAAAATTTAGTTTTCAGAAAAAGCTTTCCATCTTTTTGTTCAAAAATACATTTAACCAATGTTTTGTAAAGAACTGCATGCCTGCCTGGAAATTTTGATTTATGAAGCCCTTCTGCCTAGTGCAGAATATTTACTTGTATTATTTTTCCTTTTTTTTTTTTTCATTTAATAAAACAGATTAAGCAAAAGCTCAGTTCACAGAAACTGTTAACATAGCAGTTATTCTAAATTATACTTTATTGCAATGTTACTAATTTATTTGCCTTCTAATCACATAAATATACAAATAAGGTAAGCCATTATGAAGAGTGCAAGTACCACAGCCAGAGCAGTAGCTAGACCTAGATTTAAACTGCACATATTTCTGGATAAATAAAGGTCACAGGAAAGGTCTCCATTCAATTCCTTGTTAACGAGTCATTGCAATCTGCCCATTAACACGGACTTGGCCGGGTGTTGTGTTCAATGGGAATTAGGAGAAGCAGCACACTGCATGATTTCTCCAGGGCTGTTCATTTTGAGCTGTACTATTGACAGCAGCTGACAGGGCATACCAGTATTTCAAGAAATACACGCTTATAGATCAAGATACAGATACAGAGAGCTGAGTGAAGCACAAAGCCTCTTTCTGTAACACACCCTTTGTGCACAGAGATCCTCTCAGCTGATCTCATTAGTTCCTTATGCAGAGGGTATGAGAGCGTGTTCAGCTGCCTGTCTCTCTTCTCAAATCCCAAGCAAAGAGAAGTGAGGGAAATGGTGCATAACAGCTACTGTTCACAATGGCCTCCACGATCCTCCTGGCAAGTAACGTGGAGGATGCAATTTCTCAGCACTATATTCCATTGTACTGGCCTCACCCCGATGTCAGGATTTGGCCTCCAGACATTGTGGGCAGAGCTGTGAAAGGAGGTGATTCACCCAACCTGTCCTCAAACAGCCTTTCCCAGCGCGTCTGTTGGGGGGAACCTCAACAAATCCAACTGCTTTCAACTGGAGTTTACAAAAAGGACCTCATGTTTACATTACTAGCAATAGTAAGAAATGTCACTTCATGATTAGAAATCTCATTCCAAATGCCTGTTCCTATGTATTAGCATAAAAAAAAAATCAAACAAACAAACAAAAAACCTTCATAAGGTCATACTTTGTATTAATCCATTTCAGAAAGCAAATACAGCACAAGTAAGAAAACATATTCATACAAACAATTTGTTAAAGACTACATCAAAACATTACAGACACTGATGCCTGACTACATTCTAATCTCTCATAAACTGGAGGATTTCAATGCAAACCAGGAATATTGCAGAGAGGAATACAAAAAAGAGAGGTGTCAAAAATAAGTTGGAAAGAGAGCACCATAAGAAAATCATACTTAACTTTTTATGTCCATTTAACAAACTAATTAAATGTTTCACGGTGTTATACTGAAGTTTAGTTAAGCTACAAAGGATAAAGTCCTGGCCCATTTTACCCAAAATTTTCACTACTCTAGAGAAGATATTAAAACAAAAGGAACACATTGAGCCTTCAGTGAAAGACTTTAACCAAAAAAAGAAGAGGAAGAAAAGAAGAGGAAGAGAAGAAACTTACTTTTACAATTGTATCAATATCTTGTATGAT